ATCTGCATCATTAGTTTCATTATCTGCAGTTGCCATAACTCTTTCTGGACTGAAATCTGGGCTTTACTATTGTTGTAATTATTTGATATTATAATCAGACCTCTGAAGTGGCACTACAACCTGACTGGGTGTCACATGTGTGCAGCTGCATGTATACAGCAGTCCAAGTCCTAAAGAAGATGAAGAGCAGCAGTGTTCTGTAGGAATCGTAGCCTGTGCAGGGTTTTCACTTTCAAATTCATCCCTATCCAGGTAGGAAGTACCAAGTAGATGAATTATTCCAGCTGGGTCTTCTGCTGTGACATATCTGGTTTTCAAACTATTAGTCTCTAAGCGCATGACACCTCGCTGAAGCTGTGATGGACTTCATCTACATTTTGGGGAAATATCTTCTTGGGTAAGATTTTAAGCCCTAAATGAGCAACTGAATTCAGCCAGATCATCTCTACCTACTTCTGCTGCACTCTGTATAACTTCTGTGCAAGAGAAAAATGAAGTAATGCAGCTGATTCTTTCTTAGTTGGACTGTAAGCAAATAAAGAACAACTAATGATGAAATTGTACTGAAGACATCTGACAAATCATTAAAAGAAAAGCATAAGCAATAGTTCTCCACGTGGAACCACAGGAACAATAAAGTTTGTGCCTGGAAGAACTAGGATCAAGCATGTCTTCCTGAGGTACCCAGATGCTGTAAAAATGTGTCTGTCTATTTGTTTGCAGACATTTTTATTGTTACAAGTACCCTTTCTGGCAGTACATACCATGTTTATTTTGATACTTTGGAATTCTGTAGGGGAAATTGGATTTTGATTGCTGCAGACAGATACATATATAATCATTCTCACATAGCAGTAGAATTTGCAATAGAATGTCTCAGCAAAGATTCTGGTATTTCATATTTAAACTTAGTATTATGCATTTCTCTTCAGCTCTTTTCACAACACTTCCTCAGATGCCTTCTTAGACAGTAAAATCTGGTAATAATTATCAAACACCATACACACTGTTTACAATAGAGTCATATTTCTTCTTTTTTTTTCTTGCATAAAAAGTAGAATGCTGCTGAAAAGTGCCCAAACGTCTGCTATGCTCCATGCCAATACAGCAGCTCAGCCAAATATGTAGAGAGAAGTTTGCCAAATAAAAGAAAACATAACAAATTGGTAATGGTTTCTATCTTGACAGAAAATGAAAATCATACCTCAATGTGTGGCCACTCATGTGGACACATAAAAATGTCTTAGAGGCAATCATTTTACCTCAGATAACACACCCTGACAGTAGAGCAAAGCATACTGGCAGGCTTTTGCTTCCCATAAAACAGCAAACATGACCTACAGAATGGCCTGGAGGAATCACATAATTTGTGCATATCACATATGCATATTCTATACACTTATTATATTTAATAAAAATCAAATAAAGTAGAATTATTGTCTTTTGAGGAGTACAGTAGATTGGAATTAAGAAAGAATTTTAAAATGTAAAGTCACTATAGTTATCTCAAATATTCCAATACAGAAAAAACCCTGAAAATGTAAACTCTTAGCCCAAAATATGAAATTTAACTTTCCAAGGAATTCTAACAATCATTAATAGGTTTTAGAAGACTTCAGTGCTTTGTTAATGTTGTATGTGTTTACAGCCATTTTGTGCAATGTGTGCATTTTACAATTTATTTAGCTTCAAAGTATATTCTTTGAAAACAACTCTCATCTGTCTGTAAAGTTAACATGCACATTTACTGTGCTGCAAAATTAATATTATGATATTAATTATCAGTCTATTATGTAGGTTCGTAGAATCATAGAATCATCTAGGTTGGAAGGGACCTTAAAAATCATCTAGTCCATTATTCTAAGTCTTCATTATAGTGCAATTCTGAATGCAATATTACTTTCTGAACAAAAATACAACTTCATAATCCAAAATTAGGAAAGATAGTGATTGGACTTTATAAAGTCTTTAAAAGACTGGTTATACTACTGTGACAAGAATATACCAGACATAAAGACCAGTCCTTCAGGTTCATGGAAAGGCTGCATAAGGGAGGTTTAGACCAGACATTAGGAAGCATTTCTTTACCAAGAGGGTGGTCAAGCACTGGAAGAAGCTTCCTAGAGAAGTGGTCGATGCCCCAAACCTGTCAGTGTTTAAGAGGCAGTTGGGCAATACCCTTAGTCATAGAATCATAGAATGGTTACAGTTGGAAGGCACTTAAAGATCACTTAGTTCCATTCCACTGCCATGGGAACCTTCCACTAGACCAGGTTATTCAAAGCCCCATCCAACCTGGCCTTGAACACTTTAAATAACATGCTTTAACTTGGTCATCCCCGAATTGGTCAGGCAGTTGGACTAGATGATAATTATAGGTACCATTCAACTGAAATAGTCTACTCTATAATTCTTGGAGAACTTAGAAGCATGTTGGTAGCTTAGAATGATCTCAAAATAGCAGTGAAATTCAAGGACCTCAAAATTTATGATGTATGTTACTCCTCATTCTCAAAGAGTCTGATCTGAGAAACAAATGATGAAGAAAGACTACGTGGTTTGAAAAAGCAACAAAATAGATGGTGACAAGAGAAAACTTCCAATAATAGCAGGTTAGTAATAACAGCTACCCTAAACAGGGCAAGACTTAGGAAATTATTTTCTCTGTTGTTTCAAAGATAATAATCCAAAGCCAAGATGTTTGTGCTTTGGTCTATTTGTTAAACTATGTCAAAGAATATAAGCAAAGAAAGCAAGGTTGTATTTTGAGATAATAGAATTAACTAAAAAGAGAAAGAAACTTATACTTCAGAAGCTTAACCTGCATTTTAAAATGCTATGTTCTGTTCTTCTTAATAAATAAAAAATAAATGATATGAGAGGGGGGGGGGGGGGGGGGAAACGGGATTCTAAAGCTATGAGATACGCTCAGATCTTCCTTGGGAAAAAAAAAAAAAAGAAAAAGAATAGAATCAATAAAATAAAAAAGCAAAATGTTTGAATTGCTATTATTTTGAAAGAATCACAGAATTTAAAATTGCCTGCTATTATTTTGAAAGAATCACAGAATTTAAAATTGCCTACTTAGTAACACTTAAGCACATTTTCAGTTATGAAAATGCCAAGGTATGTGTTAAGATGAAAGCAGACTACACTAATGCCCACGAAGAAATACTGAAAAAATAAATGCACTCATTACCCACTACTTATGTAAAAATGTTGTTTTATAAACTGCAAGAATTCTACACTTCGTGCTATACTACTAGTGTTAGTCTTTCTGCCAGTAAATGTACCTGAAGTTTTCTGCTAATCCCAGAATTTCTCATGTGAGGCCTCAGCTTGATTCAGTGAAAAGCAAGAAGGTGTAAAGGTAAAGCTGCAGAATCTGTGCAGCTTTATCTAACTAAATTATAGTATATGCAATGATTCATCATGTATATGACACAAATAAGAATGGAAAAGTTATCTAGAAGTGATCTAAAATTTTAATCTCATCAACACAACTGGTCTCAGAACTTGCAATTCAGCTTACCTTTCATGACCTATGATTTCATTTTTATTTTTTTGATTTTTATGGAATGTATCTTCATCTAGTCTTAATATATTCTGATTCAATATATAAAACCCCAAACATTTTTATAATAGAGCTTACTGTAAATTGATGTGTAACTTACAGATAGTTGAAGAATCTAACTTATCAATATGTGGGAAAAAAGAGGTAAATTAAGACGTGAAAATAATTTTTCCTCCCATATATTATCTTCCCTCACAGGTTTTTCTCACTTCAGTATGCATATCTTTTTCATTTGTAGAATGACAGTAGAAATAACTAGGTTATTTAGACAATCTGCACTTCCTACCAATGCTAACTGTCTTCTCACCTGAGACAACTTCATTAACATGGTAATCTTACAGTTTTGTATGCGTCCTCTCAAAACAGATGCAGGATGCTTTAATCAATCACATTTAGTTACATCATTTATTTTCAATTTAAAAAAGATGTCTAATGCACATGTTTGTATATTGTAGTTTTTCTACTTATTGTAATTAAATTTTTTTCAGGTGTAGCTACTGGCGCTTTGGAGATTTGGGGGCAGGTAGGCATCCCATTGGTTTCCCTCTCCCAGGAAGTGAGCCTTTAGGAAGATTGTAAGGGTATATAATATTTAAATTATATGTTATCTATATAATTATATAAAAAAATATATGCAATTACTTATTTTCACTTGATAACTTAAATTTATCTGAGATATGGAAATATTGATTGTCTTAAAACACTTGCCAAGAACTTTGTTTAAGTCTCTATTTTAGTGATAGTTTTGCTGTAGCTGTGATGGCTTATGCCTACACCTAAGGAAAAAGCTGTGGGCAGAGACAGCCTATTTTATTAGACCACCTATATTTCTTGCCTTATAAAAAGAGATGACCTGTCCTTACAAAACATTTTTGTTACCTTTTTTTGTTTTTTTCCTAGTCATTTTCTGCAGATATTTTTACTATTATCTAACAGCTTGTAGTCTAGGACTTCAGGATCACACTTCAAATCATACTGATTTTTATCCCCTTGCCTACCTAAGATGGGCTCTTTCTACGGAAGATGAACATGAGACACATGGTACAAGTTGCTTCCTTGTCAGGGAGGTGCTGAGGTAATGACTTCTGCAGCACGTTATCAATGCCAGTGCTACCTGCTCTGTTAGGGTCACCCTACATTTCAGATGAGTCTATCACTCTAAATCTCACCCGTCAGTTTTTAAAATACTTACCATGCCCAACACAGAGTTTTAGTAGGACTTAATACTACACAAAGCAAAATGTTTTCTACTCTCTCACCTTATTTTCAAGAGTGCTAAACCAGTACAGTTTATCTGACTCCTGCTGCAGCTACCATCTTCACTTTTAGCGTTTCTGCTACTTAAATTTATGCTTAACAGTGAGACTATGTTAGTGCAGTAGGATTTCCAGCAGTAAACACAGAAATCCAAATCCAAAAAACTCACCATCCTTCATCATTATCTTCTTCAGGTTCAGAAACCTGGTTTTCAGGAGTTTCTTCAATTGCCTGGGTTAGCTTAGATTTAAATCGGTCCAACAGTGCCAGCGTCTGAAATTAAATACATGGTTTTTGAGAAGATACATATACTTACACACAACAACATGCATATTCAACATCTTCAAACTATTATTATTTTGAGAAATAGTATAAAGAGACGGAAGAGAGATGTTTCACATGAATTTGAAAGAAACACTGTAGAGAGGCAAGTGAGAGAGCATGAGACTGGGAGAGTTGGTGTGAGGGGAGAGAAAGCAAGAATGTATTGAGAGCACCCATCGAGAGAACAAGCAAGAGCGAGCAAGCTATGCTGAGGTAGCAAAAGCAAGCAGTTAGGGCTCCCCACAGGTGTGAGAGACCACTTCTCTGCCTGCCTGGTGAAATCTAAATGCATATTTAAGGAATAAGAACTTGTGGCTACTTACAGAATAAAATAGCTGATTAAAAAACACTGATGTCTTACACCAAATTTTACCACATGAACCTATTTTCTTCTCCTAAAGCAATTCATTGTATAAATTACAGATCAGTCAAGCTTCGAAGACCTAATTGGATTGATATATACTTTCAGTTACTGATCTTTTAAATCTTGTACCAACACTGAAAAAAATCAAAGCTTTTGACTCAAATGCAATGAGCCACCTTAACTAATTCTACAGATGCAAGTTCTTATGCTGCATACATTAATTTCATACATATTTATATGTATGAAATTAATGTACTTTTATTCTCCAGCTAACATTGCGCAGTCTTTCAGGTACAATGAAGTTACCAAATCTCTGGTGACACATGAAGATCAAACTGCAGGCCTTGTTTCTGATCGTGTGGAATGAGATTTTGATCATACAAGAATCATACGCCTAAGCCTTGTGATGGGAGAGGGGTTGCTTCAAAAAAAAGAGCAGACCATAAGAATAATTTGCACAGCCCACAGCTTACTTCTTGCTGATATTTGAGACATTCCTGGAAAGGAAAGCATCAGGGAATAAGCGCTTGACTGAATTTATGTGGCAGGCTACATTTGATCTTTAGGTGATAGGTTGGCCACCTATGCTGTAAAACACCTCTGTATGGCTGTTTAGTTTTGTTTGGTCAAGTTTTTCAAATTTAAAAGAATAAAAACTAAACAAGGATAGAAAACAGAAATAGGAAATACCAGAAGTGTTCACTGGAATCAAATTTCCTTCTGGGAGCAATCTTAACTTTAGGAGTTTCCTGGCTTTTGAATCCTTTCAAAAACATATTTTAGCACTGGCAAAGACAGGTTTTGGAGGTTTTTTTGCATTTTTTTTTTTTTGGTTTAATCTTCCGTTTAAGATGGGAGAGAGGAAAATTTCAAAGCTATTTGGGCCTGCAAATCATTCAAGTTCTATAACTTTCCATACTACTGCAAACAAGTCCCATACTTGCCACACCTGAGACAGCAAATCGGTGCCTAGGCCATCAGAAGAAAACGAACTAATTCTTTTTACATGAAATTGTGACCAATCACACCCACAGTCCTTGTGTCTTTTCTAATTTTCTCTGGTACTGACATTCCCGTGAATAGGCCTGGTAATAGAAATAAGTCTGAAATACCTTAGTAGGCATTTTTGCAGTAAGTGATTAGATGCCATACTGTGGATCAAATGACTTTGTAAATTGATCCTTGTAGAATTATAAGGTTAGGACTTCCAATATCTAGCATTGTAAGGAGACACATACCTTTTCCCCTCTTCTTTAACTCTTGTACAGAGGATGGAAAATGGTATTGTGCTGTAGGACAAGGTAGGAGGGATGAAAGGCTAAAAGAAGTTCTCCACAAGTGAAATGTATTACAAAGAACTTGATTAATTATTGTTGAATAGTTCCTAGCGGGGTTACATAAATCAAAATTAAGATCTACTAAAATATACATCCCTGTCATCTCATCTTATTTTACTATGATGTCCAGGACAGGGCTGATATAAATTCATTAGAAGTGGTTTTAAGTCCCTTGATCCACATTGCCAAGAGCCTTCGTACTCTTTGATTCAAAGTTAATGGACTTTTGAACGTACAAAGTTTCCATAAACTTCTTAGTTTAGAGCTAAATCAGCTTGCTGCATGTATAAAGGTTTGCCAACCACTGCTTTGATGTTACTAAGCCTCAAGTTTCCAATCTCTTCTAGCTTCAACAGTTGATTATGAACATCTTCATAGCTGAATTGACATGCACTTATAAACCAATACGTTTGATGTACTGCATAGATTTTAAGTTAATGGTATTTTCCACTTCACAGGCAGTTTCAAACTTTGCCATTGTAGAAAAAACAAATATTTATATCAAACTTTACTTCCCTCATATTTGAATACTACAGTCTACATAAACACTAGCTCATTTTGAAAAATAATTTTCATTATATTTAAAAAGGCTTTTCTTTTGTCAGTTCAGTTAAAAACTATTTCTGTTCATTTCACAACACCAAAAGGTGTGCATTAATTTAATCTCTTTAAAACAATTTAAAATGTTAAAAACCCCAGTTTGAACAGATGCCAAGTATGCAAACCTCTGTCCCAATGTTATCTTATGGCAAGCTGCAGAGCCAAGAAAAGTACTGTACACAAATGCAAACTCTTGTAAACGTAATCAAGAATACCTCTGCACGGGTAGCATTTCCTCTGGAAGATTTTAGTGACTAAACTGATAGCACTTTCAAATACACATTGAAACTTCATTGGACAATCAACCAGGGGATTGAAGAGTACATATTTGTTTTTACAAATAATTAGATTTTTTTAATGAAAAATAAAACATAACAGATTTTAAACTTTATTTTTACACAAATGAAAAGAGAAACATTTCCAGAACTTTTTCTGGAATTGTTTTCCCCAGGTTGTCAAACTATTACCTGATCCTCACGAGATGTCCCTTTCTTTGGCTGCTGCTTCCGCTTGTCTTCATATTTTCTCTTCTCTTGAAGGTATTCTTCAACAACACTGTTTGGAGCAGGTTCCTCCTCTGAACAAGGAAATATATTTGCTTAAACAAATTAAATTTGGTTTTATGATTTAGTATCATTTTGGAGATCATTTATGACTTCTGAAATACCAAGCAAAACACTTCCATAAATTCAGTTGTATTGCTTTCTCAGCAAGTAGAATGATTTGCTACTTGCTGAAATGAAAAACACAACACTGTACTGGGCAGAAAACGAGTCCAAAAATTTTTGTTTCAACTTTATTTTACTATGGAGCCAGGGAAAGCAGAGTAACAGAAACAAAAATCTGATGTGTGATGTTAAGATGAGAAATGAAAACTGTTGAAATTCCTTTTACAAATTCACCTTCATTTCTGAAGGTCTTTCTTGAAGGAGATGAACTGCTGTGTGCATTAATATTATGTGACTATTTGTTATGGAGTAGACAAATACAGACAAATATTGCCTATTGACAAATTCACAGTTTTCCTGTTTTATAAGCTGAAGTAGCCAAAAATCAAATCCTTGATCTTTCAATAGGGAAAAAAACCCGTAACATTTTAATTTTGTTCATCTTGTCAATCAGGAAAAGCCTCTGTAGTAACAAAGTAATATCCAGGCCAGTCAACAGCTACTGTCCTTTGTCTTAACAGTTCCTTCTCTGCAGAATATCCACAGCCATGACAAATTAATAATTTGGAAATAATTCAGGAAAAATCTGAATTCAAAAATTGATTAACACCATCCTTTCACACTTTCGTCCTCTTGAAAGATCTTTCGCATACTTGAAACTTATTTACAGGATTGTTATTCCTGGTAAGGAACAGAAGAACACAACGTTACAGATGCCCATTGGAAATGATGAACAGAAAATATTTATGAAGGAAATTGTTTCAACAAATTTCAGGATATACATCCTCATCAACTGTAGATTTAAATCAAACCCGATATCAGTATTTTTTAGATGACTGCTGACAGCTATGCAGAGAAAAATTCTGATTCCAAACTGAATTTCTCTCTCACCTGAAGTTTTTTATAAAGTTTATAAACATAACATTTCATAATAAGAGGAAATAAATTTGTAATTATATATCTACATATAAAATATTTGCTTATATATTTCTAAAAAAAAAATCTTATTTTCTTTTATGCTAATTTATAAACTGCATGTATGTATTTAAAGAATATCAGGGAAAACAATCAAACATACATAATATCATTCAGAGCTTTTTTTTCTGTTTTCCAGTTGATATGTTGGATATAATGAACAACAGAGAGTTACAGGTACCAGCAAGACAAAGAAAAAAACCAAACATCTAGAAACACCAAAAAAGATAAATGCATACACACAGATATTTAGGGATGATTAAACAGATGTATGAATGAAATCAAATCTGCCATAAAATCTCATGCACCATACTTTCAGATCAACTGAAGAGAATAACAAAGTGCAGTAAATAACTTGAACTACAAAACCAGTTCTTAAAGAAAACAACCTTTCAAGTGACATTTACCTAAAGGAGTGCTTTGAAATTAATCCCATTTACCTGTTGATAAGTATAATTGCCCTTCTGTGACCAACGAAATAACTGAGAAGAGTGTTCTTGAAAACTTATAAAAACATCAATCTCAAGCTGGCCATAAACATTTAAATCTGAGATCCAAACTTCGATACAAATATGCTGAATTTAAAGATGTGATCCTTAGTCATACATGTCTTTTGACTAAGATTTTAGCTTAATCCAGTGCAGCTCAAATATAATTATCATACAAATAGGTTAAATTCCCCTGCAGTTGTGTGTTTGTGTATTTTTATCACACTCATATGGTTGTCACTTACTGTTAACACAAACAATTTAAATTTCAGTTTAAGTCTTCTCCTGAGATTATTGTTTTCTTGGTTCTTTGCCTGTCAGAGTTTTTCTAATCCTCAATTTCATTCTCTCTGCCTCCTAGGAAAGCCTTTTCATAAGTTAGACAGAAGATAATCAGGTCCACCTGAACTAACTTCAAATTGAGTCAACCAAAACAGTTATGCACTTGTATGCATCATATTTCTGCACCTTTCATTAAAATGACTTAAAGACATGCTTGTATTTCTCCTGAGGTCTTCCAACTTATTATTACTCCACATTAAAAGCAAGTAATACAACAGGAAGGACTTCAAAAGCCCCTAAAACATTGGGTTTCTAACACATTTTAAAACTCCAAACAATCACTTCAAAACCACAGACAGTGTCTATTTTTTAATATAGATAAAATATTCAGTTTTGGTAAGTATCAAATCTTTGATAAAATTATTTGTGTCTGCACAAATAAACTCAGGTAATTCGGAAGCAAAAGAAAACATCTGGAAGAAAGATTTATTGGTGGGAAGAACCCTTTAAAAATTTAAAACCCCTTTTAAAATGTAAAAATGGATTATTGGCTGATACTTCATATCTCCAAGTCAGCATCCCAGAGCCTCTCCAAATCTTTTGCAATAGAGATGGGAAAAATAGGAACCACAAAACTGTGTGATGGATGTGACCTTCACATCAAGGTTGACAAACTCAGGTCCATTTTGCTGATCCAGCAGAACTATAAGGGTCATTATATCAGTGTTAAAATATTGAAGCTTCAAACTCCTTAATCTAAGAGGATTTATTCAGACAAAAATAAATGAAACTTGACACGGATGCACAGCAGTGAAATAACAATTAATTGCCTTATGTAAGTATCACAGGATGCACAAGGTGCCAGTTTAAGTTACAGAGATCTTGCACACTTGTGTCCTAATGGCTTCTCATCACAAAGTGTAAATAGCATCAGGCAAAGAAAGATTTTTTCCTTAGTTTGAACAAGTTGCTGTTTACATTCTGTCAGTAAGGAAAGTGAGGAAAAAATAAAAGAAATTAAAAAGACATCCTTCCTTATTTAAAATACACTTCATTGTACTTTTAACAGAATTTCTAAGTACATTGTTATTTACCTCAGCTAGCTTGAGTTACTGCCAAGAGGACCTTCATCTTACTGTGACAAAAATCTTAGCATTTAAGTTCTCCTATCCTGAAATATTCCTTTAAGGAGTAACACATGCCAACCTGATGGTGTAATCTAACCTAAAACTTTGGTTTTGGGACACGGTTTCCAATGATAGCCTGAAACTAAGGAGGAGATTCAGAAGTCTTTAAACCAGAAAGGAAGAGATTGATTTAAAAAAAATACAGAAGGGTTTATTTTGCTCACACTTAAATTAGGAACAGTTCAAATGATGTCAGTTTTTAACTACATAATTGCAGAAGTATACAAAGACATGAGAACTTGATCCAAGGGTTGAACTGAACTGAATGTCAGTCTGGGTAGTTTTGGATCAATCCCTAAATACGAAATGCAGCAGAAGAGAAAGCTTGATAAACTAATTTTAAGCTTAATTCCTAAGCACCTGGTAAGTTTAATAGCGTAATAAACACACACCAAAAGTTGCATCATACATACTCTATTTTGGAAACCGCAACTGAATTTTATCTTCTACTTTATGAAAACTAAGAAGTATGAGTTTTAGGCTGCTGACTATGGTAGATAAGAAAAGTGCGATCACTGCTTATGCTGATACTCATGTCAGCCTTAATGACTGCGCTTCATTTCTAGCATTGCAGATGGAGTAACAGTGCCTTAGCATGTATACCAATTTTGGGACAGATAAGGTACAATTTGAGACAAATATTTCTGACAGTATGTATACAATTTTCCACAGCACAAACTTTGTTATTTTATCATTTTATTATTTGTATCAGTCTTGACAAACTTTGTAATAATGAATGACCTTATAATAAAGGAGGTTGAATCTGTATAAAATCTAGAGATTTTGTTTCCTTTTTATGAAAGGGACAAGCTGCACATAAAAAGTTTGTTGCAAAAAGAAGAGGTTTTGTTTACTGAAAGTATTATCAGAACCACACTAATCTTCAGAACGGTAAAAACAACACATATTTTGACAGAGAAAAAAATATCTGTTGTTTCTGAAGGTTTAATATCACCATAAAAAAGAGCCTACAGTACTGATGAGGATCAATGAAAGAACTTTTGTTTATGTTTTTTCTTTGATGAGGTACAGCTAGCATGAAGATTTTTACACAAATAGACTTAAGTATCTTACATTACAAAAGATTCTTGATATGCTGAACTTCACAAAAGTAATCCTATTAACTCTTGTAATGGACTTTGCCTATGTAATCATGAGTTCATGCAGAACCAAGGTAAGGTAGTAAGGAGAGCATACAAAGAAATCTGTATTAAAAGGCACCCCAGTTTATTTAGCAGAGTTTGTATACGTTTTAAATGTGGTGGTCCCATTAATTTTCATCAGTGTTTCAAATGCACTCTTTAGAAACTCAGATGACACATTTCATATGATAAAAGACCTACTAGACAGAAATGTCAAGAAATGCAGGGTATAGCTGGACTAAATACTGAAGGGGAAAACAAAAACCTGAAAAACCCTGGACAACTCTGTGTTTGAAATGAAAAAAGTTATGACTGACTGTTTTTCTGCATTAAAATAGGAGGCCTAAACACATTCCTGTATTTGTGCAGTACATTCCACTTTCAGCTATTCATCAATATTCAGACAATATTGCATTCTTCTGGAATTATAGAGTACTGATTTTTAAAATTTTAATGAGATTCAAATCTTGAAATGAAAAACTATTTTTTTCCAAAAGCAAACAAACCCCTTATGAATAATGAAATAAATTCTGATATGCCTTAATATTTCATAAATTAAAATGGAATTCTTATCAGAACTGACAGATGGAAAACATGAAGCCACTTCATATAATTAAGATTTAAGACAGATAAGACATTCTTCCAGAATTGAGGAAAAATTTTTCTTCCAGCATTAAATACTATGTCTATGAAAATAAAAATATTAGTGTACTGTAAATCAGTATAAAAATGAATATACCAGAAAATACAATATGAAATGGTGTTATGCTTGAAAATGTATAACATACTCTCCAGTATATTTTTGTTTAGGACTAATTCTCTTCCCGGGTTTTCA